TGCTGATGGGGTACAACAAAATGAAGACAACAGCTGTAAACATTCATTAATAATCAGAACATGCAATGTATGAAGTATGACTCTAGGAAAATTGGAAATTGTCAAAAATGAAATGGAACACATAAACATCAATATCTTAGGCATTAGTGAGCTGAAATGGACTGGTATTGGCCATTTTGAATCTGGCAAATACATGTTTACTATGCCAGCAATGACAAATTGAACAGGAATGGGATTGCATTCATTGTCAAAACGAACATATCCAGATCAGTCATGACGGTGAATAAGGAAGACCGTAGAAGAATTGATGCTTTTGAGTTATGGTGTTGGAGGAGACTATTAAACGGGCCATGGGCTGCCGAAGGAACCAACAGATCTGTGTTGGAAGAAGTGCAGCCAGAGTGTTCCTTGGAGTCCAGGATGGCCAAACTTTGTCTCTCATACTTCGGACATATTGCCAGGAGGGACCAGTTGCTGGAAAAGGATATCATGTTTGGTAAGGTGGAGCTCTGGTAGCATAATGGTTACGAATCGGGCTGCGAACCTCAAAGTCAGCAGTTCGAAACTACCAGCTGTTCCGCGGGAGAAAGATGAGGCTTTCTGCTCCCGTAAGGATTTACAGCCTCGGAAACCCCGTACAGGGTCACTTTGGGTCAGAACCAACTCGACGGCACTTAACAACAACAAGGTGGAGGGTCAGAGAAAAAGAGGAAGACCCCCAGCGAGATGGACTGGCAAACTGGCAGCATCAATGGGCTCAAGTGTGGCAACAATTGTGAGATTGGCCCAGGACTGGGCAGTGTTTCATTCTGTTGTATATAGGGTTGCTATGAGTCGGTATCGACTCGATGGCACCAAACAACAGCAATGCTCAGTTGATCTTTGACGATGAACACAAACATATTAAGTCGGGGAAGAGATAGTCTCTTCAACAAATGGTGCCAGCAAAACAGGAAATCCATTTGCAGAAGAATAAAACGCGGCCCATATCTCATACCATATATAAAAATGAACTCAGCATAGATTCAAGACCTAAATGTAAAGCCTAGATATCAATGATAAAATCAGTATAAACTTGGGTGCTCTGGTCCATGGCACAAATGCATTATCAAGCCTAATTGAAAACACACAAAGCAGAAGATAAAATAAATAACTGGGACCTCCTAAGAATTTATACTTTCGTACATCAAAAGATTTCACCAAAAGAGTAAAAAGAGAACCCACAGATTCAGAAAATTCTTTTAGTAACGGCACATCAGACAAGGGTCTACTGTCTAAAATTTATTGACTGCTTCAACCCCCTCAATAATAAGAAGACAAACAATCCAATTTAAAAATGGGCAGAGGATGCATGTCTTAACAAAAGAACACCTTCAGGCAGTCAACAAATATAGGAAGAAATGCTCCCAATCACTAGCTATTAATTAGAGAGATGCCAATCAAAACAACAATGAGATATCGTCTAACCCCAGCATTAATAGCAAACATTTTAAAACAGAAAACAATGTTGGAGAGGGTATGGCGAACAGGGTACCCTACTACACTACTGGTGGGACTGTAAAATGGTGCAACCACTGTAGAAAACAGCATAACACTTTCTCAGAAGGTTGGAAATACAAAAAACCGTATGACCTAGCAATCTCTCTACTTGACATATATCCTCAATAAATAAGAGCCATAACATGAATAGATATATGCATGCCATGTTCACTGCAGCATTATTCACAATAGCAAAAATGTGGGTACAGCCTGGATGCCCACCAGCAGAAGAATGGTTGAACAAATTTTGGTGCATATACACAATGGAAAATTATGCAAGATTG